GTGTCCCATTATTAGTAGTATGAATGAGTAGCACGATTTTACCCAGCGCAGCGGGTACCCGCAGCTAGTATATATATATATAAATCTGTTTGCTCTACTGAACTTTGTTCGAATATTTGCATGCGTGCACGCGCATATATATATATATAAGATAAATTTGAGCTGATACGTATCTAATCTATATTTCAGTTGGTATGTATGTATGTATGTTTGTATGTACCCTATGGCCGGCCAAACTGCCCAAGCGATCTGGATGCAATTTTCACTGGGCGATTTCCTATACCCGGGGAGTGTTCCTAGAACAAAATCCGTCAAAACGTGAAACTCACCGAAAAATCCGTGAAAAATCCGTGAATTCGTCAAACTTCAGACAATGTCAGCACTCACTGTACAGCGCTGCCACACACAGAAAAATCGATGAGTATTTATTTAACCTCTCTTCATCAGCTGCTGGTATGGTGAAACCGAAACCAATACTAAAACAGAGCACAACCAGGACCAGTTGAGAGGTTACGACTGCATTATTTATCAAGAGGCTTCGAAATGGAAAGTGCAACCCATTCGTACATGCTGTTATAATAACTTTTTGTCATTTACACCCTATTACTATTATGTTCCAGGGGTTCTACGTTGGGTTGTGCTGTGATATACATCTCATACGTAACCGTTTTTTACCATGCTTAATTATTATCTTATTAGACTCATTTGAAAATATTCATAGAGTTTGAGTATAGTTTAGTATGAGTATGATATAGTTTGAGAGGTTAGGACTGCTGAAAACATCAACGCATAAAGAGGCGTAACAAGTGAGTAAACATTCTTTTATAATTACAAATTTCCCCACTCGATGGCCTGTCTGCATACTATATATCGATTTTTTTTATTTATGCTACGATCTCAGAATGCATTGTACCATTCGAAAGCTATGCCTTTTCTGATTCAGTAGAAAAATTTCTTCATTTCAATGTGCATGGTTGCGCGCCAAGCATTCACTAGACAATATCCAATGGACACAGACCCCACTCGCTGGCCTGTCTCTATCTATACTATATATGGAATTTCTTTTATTTATGCTACGATCTGACAATGGATAGCTGTACGTGGGGAGCTCAAGAGTTCGAGACGCCAGGAATCTCTACATATTTGTACCAGAGAATAAGACGAAAAACATTGTATATCAAGAGGTTTGAAATGAAAAGTGCAACCCATTCGTACATGCTGTTATAATAACTTTTTGTCATTTACACCATAATACTATTATGTTCCAGGGGTTCTAAGTTGGGTTGTGCTGTCATATAAATCTCATACGTAACAGTTTTTTCCCATGCTTATTATCTTATTAGACTGATTTCTAAATATTGATATTGTGTGCAATGTTATTCTCGATTTTTATCCAATGTTCCTATTGTGTCCGATTATTAGTAGTATGAATTAGTAGTACGATTTTACCCAGCGCAGCGGGTACCCGCAGCTAGTATATATATATATGTGTGGAGAACCTGAAATGTTGAGCGCACTGTTAAGTTGAGACTGGTTTAGACCGGTTCTGTTCTGCTGACACATGCGTATAAACAGAGGAATTGCTCCGACTTGTGATTGTGATTGACAATGTCCAAATGTCGCTTTGCTTTTCCATTTTTTTCAGAGCGAGACGAAAAGAACAATTATTATTTGCAAGCGTGCCACGCCGCGGAAACGTGTCTCTATACACGCAGGCTTATAAATTTCGCATTTATTTTTGCGAAACATCTCTTATCTATCTCGCCACTTTGTGAAATAACAGCGTATACGTGGTCACGCCATCCACGCACGTACGCACTCACGCACTCACGCACGCACAC